GGGCCTGCTGGGTAACCTAATGTATAAGGAGGAAATGCATTCTGGGAATTACTTCTCCACGGCTGAGAACTTGTTTTAGTTTTTTCTGTGAACACTTTACTCACATGAACTGATGTCGAATCAGTTGCCATACAATTTGAACTCACTTTTGTTTTCTCTTTGCAGCAAATCACAAGCACAATAATTAACGTCTTCGACTTGAGAATGATTTATGATGCATCATCAAGCAAGTATACAGTCAAGAGCTACTTGTTATTTATAACGCCCAGCATCTAAAACATGTTGATATTTGTGCACTTTTAGAACTTGAACTTGTTGACTGAAACAAATTTAAAAAAACCAATATGACTGTGACAGAGTGTGTGACATGCTATTTTAATTAGCATGGGACTCCAAAATGAATAAAGCCTTTGCAGTGTAGAAACGATCCTGCGGCTTGGACTGAAGCAGATGATCACAGAGGACCAGTCATGCAAGCAGACTGACACAAAATGAGCTCATCTTCCTTTGCAATGACAAAAGGCCAGAAGAGTATGAAGCTGAGTGGCATTTTTATTGAAGGCATCACAAGAGACGTGTTAACAGCAGAATTTGATATTTTCTTTATTCAATTTGACTTTCTTGTGACAACAACATGACAATTCTGCATTTAAGCCATTATCTGTATGCGTGCAGACGGTAATGAATAGAAGTCTACACGTCATAAAGCAGCACGGCGACCGGAGCACTCAACGCCTTGCTTAGAATGATTTGTTTAGAACAAATCTTTTCATCGTCTTCATCCTCCACGAGGACAGACAGAAAGTGCTGAGGGCTCCAGGGCACCTCCTTGGTCTCGGATGCCAGCACACGGATGCAGTCGATGTCTTTCTTGAAGGTGAACTTCACCACGGAGGGGGTCGTCTCCTTATCGGCATCTTCATCAGACTGGGAAACGATGAAGGCATCAATCTCCACAGCCTTCCCTGTGATGAACACTCGAACGTTCCTCTTGCTGTTGTTGCTCAACTGACACGCAGTGCTGATGTTGCCCATTTTTCCAAAGGTGTGATTAGTCAGGAGGCTGAGTGGAAGCTGAGACAGACATATAGCTTAAATTCTGAGCATCTCATTATCTAAAAACCCACATGTGTGGGGAGTATTGATCCATATTTCATTCTTTATATTTCATTTTTGTTCCTAAATATTTTTTTTTTAAACAAATTAAGCTTGTGATCAAAAACTTCCTAATACTTTAACACTTCACAATATGTCCCATGACCAAGACCACAATTCCCCTGTAATTAAACAGAATTTAAATGTATTTTATTCGAAATTAGAATGTAATTATATTTGCCTACACATAATTAAAGATAGACACACCAGAAATAGGTCAAGTTCTTACAGGAACCTAATAAAATATTATGCTCTAAGTAACTGAAGCACTAGGTAATGACATTTTAGTATTGTTGGTATTATGGAGTGGATTAATCTTGACATTTTTACATCTTTATTCATTGTGACATCCATGACTGATGCTCTCCTCTTTTTATTTTACCAATATAAACACAATATAGACTGTTCTCCCTTACTAGCTTACAAGAAAAAAAAATAAACCTAACCCTAAGTCTATCAAAATTTGCACATCTATGTGACCTTATTAAGATGGATATAATAATTTTTTTTTTCCTTTCACAATAACTGTTTAAACATAACAGTTTGACAATTATTCTAACTGTAGTTCTTTATTGCACTCTGAGTCTCTATGATATGTCTCTTCACTTACGCTTATTTCACTATCTCTGGTATGACAGCCAGGAATGCTTTAACTGTTTTAACTTCATACATTTAAAAATGCTCAAGTGCTTTCAATTTAGGTACCAAAATAAGCTATCCTCTGCAGTTTCTTCAGCAAATCAAATATAGACTGAGTTCTTACCTGCTGATTCAGTGAAGGACAGGTGACAATAATGAGCTGTTACTGTAGCTGCTCACCTGAGCTGTGCGTGTCTTACGGACAAAGTCTGATAATATGCAAAAAGATGAAAAGACATGAACATGAGGTAACGTACTGTATGCTTTTAAAGATTAGAAGCACCGGGTGTAATGTTTTCATAATCCAAGACTAAAGTGGCACATACAAAAAAAAAAGCTTTTTCAGCTTTTTTTATGTGAAAAATGTAAACTAAACGACAATTATGCAATAGCAATCACAAGTTCCACTTAACATTTTAGTCTAGTCCAAAAGTAGAATGACGCAAGTAGGAGAACGATGTAGGCTGGCACTGCACAGGAATTAGTTCTGTCAGGTCTTAGATGCAGAGAAATAAACAGTAGGTTTACTTCACAGTGGGCTTTGAACACTGGAAGAAATCTAGAATAACAGACTTATCCTCAGACCTCTATTGCTGCAATGTGGTAGATATAACGATACATATAACAAAGAGTATTACATTTGTCTGAGTGCATATATGCAAAAATAGCCAGCACCACTTTATTTGTGAAACTACAGAACTGCTTACAGTTTCCACTAAGGTTTAATAACCTGACACTTCTACAAGTGTGAGACGATGAAAACTTGCCTTTGTGTAATTACAGCCTATTGTCAGAGACAGAACAGAATCTTTTATTTGCTCTGTGTTTTGCATACACAAAGTAGAGAAATACAGGAAAGATAAAAGCATAACTGCTGGCTTCAGGCTGCCTTCCAGCACTTATTTTCAGCACAATGAGGCCCTGGCTGCTGCTGTCTCTGCTCGTCTCTGACCTGACTCCCCCAGGAGACGGGAACTGGGTTATGGATTACTTCAGCTGGACTTTGTGCAGAAAACTGATCCTCGGTGGACAGATGGCTCCCAAAGGGCTGAAGATACTTCGGAGCCAAACTGAGTCTACATGCTTCAAAAGAAACTACATGTATGCTGTTTTGCTACACAAACAGAGGAGCTACTCCTTCTGCTGGCCGTTCACAGTCCACAGTGACCATGGACACACTCTGTCTTTCAAAGACTTGAGAAGAATAATGCAAAGGGATCAGATTCCTGTATTGGTATGCTTATTTTATTCAGTAATGCTGTTAAAAAAAAAAGGTTTCCTTTTTATGTCTTGTTCTTCATTAGGAAAACTACTCCCACCATCAACTGTATTTGTTTTTAATTTATACATGTTCCCTCTTATGCTGCTCCTCTGTGCATGAATTATCAGCATACCAGGTGGGAATGTCACATTTTGCAAAGCAGCCAAGAGTCTCCCACATTACACTACCTAGAAAGCACGAAGCTGATGACTCAGTCACAAGCTGCTTTATTTTTACACCCATTTCATGCTGCTGATAATAAGAATATCTGACATGTGGCGTGTTTTTGTGCCAGATTACAATATTTATTAGAGAGAAAAAGCCTTTTCGGGTAATGCTTTTAACTAAGCGTGACACCGTGACAGTCTCTTAGCATGTGATTTTAATATTTACTCCAGAGAATCTGCACATTTATCAAATAGAAGACGTACGCCCCACTTCAGATGTCAAAATTTTACTCGTAACGCCACTCGACCATTTACAATAAAAACGTTTCAAACTGAGGTTTACATAAATAAAACCTTGTTGGTTTATTTCCCCTTCAAATTTAATTAATCTTATTTAATATTTTTTGCCTCCTTATATGCGCCCCATCTAACTCACCAGTGGGGCCTGCCCCACAATTTGTGACCAACTGGGTTAAACAGGCATATTAAAAATAGATTTCATGGAAGAACAGTTCGAACAGTTGTTCTCCCTCTACTTGCTCAGTTAACAATGGATGTGCTGCACAGTCGGGCGTGTGCTTGGAGCATATTTGTGTGTTTGCAGTGCTGCAAAAAACACAAATGCACTTTATGGTAAAGAAAGCAGATCTCAGTGAGGGAAAAAATCATGGTAGATTTCTATGCTGTTATGGACTTGGTCCAGTCTGTTTCCATATCTATTATCCCCTGTCCAAGTGTCAAGTTTACATGTTTTGGCATGTCACGTGACTCTCTGAGTGCTTGTTACTTCCTGTTTTATTTTGACAGTCCCTAGTCTCATGTGCATTACGTTTAACTTTGCTTCCTCTGTTTGGTCAGTCAGATTTTGTTTCAGCTGTGTTTTCCACCTGTTGCCCATCCTCTCGTGATCCTGTGTAATTAGGTCCTTAGTTTTCATCTGTTCCTTGTCATGTCTGTTACTCAAGGTTTGTGGTTTCAATTAGTTTACTCCAGTTCAGCTCTGCTTCTTATATTGTTCAATCAGCCATTTGCCTTAAGTTAAGCCTGTCTGCCAGGTCCTTTATTTTTGGTCCTCTCACTGACTGCCACACAACAAGCCCATGACAGTTTGTTGGAAAAGAAAATAATCAAACTAGTGAGGGTTGACTTCAAAGACACCTCAGAAATCAAAGTAAAAAAGACAGCAAACATTCTGGCAGTGGCACATACTCATGAGCCATCCTGGAGGAGTAGGACTACCTGTGCAACCCCTGTAGGGTCCAGGTATCGCGTCATGCTACCAGTAGTGACACTGACCCTGGCCAAATGCAAAACTAGAGAAAAAACTGTTGGAAAAGATGAAAAGGAAAAAAATGTCAGTGGCTTCCGTCTGTAAAATCATTCCTGTGTTGGGGGTTGTCTCATTGTTGCCCCTTTTACTGCATCTGTTTCATTAACTCCAAAAGCAGCTGAAACAACAACCCCCTCTGCTACGTATGTACTGTCTTAATGCTATACTCTGATCAAAAAGTGTTACTTTTTTGAGCAGCTTACATTTTCAAGTCTTATTTGATCCGACATGGTAATTGTTCTCTGCGTGTGCAGTGTTTGCGGTCTGTCAGAGTTGCCCCTCACTAACAAAGTCTCATTCAGAAGAACAAGTGCCCAAAGTGTCCAAGTCTCCAAGATGGATATTTCCATCTGGACTGCAGTCATGGTGATGGAAGTTGTTTTTATGGCTCACGCATTTATCTGGAAACATTTTTATAACTAATTCAGTCTTCCTCTCTTGTCACTTTAGGCCATTCTTCATTGTGGTGAAAGAAAACTTGTTCCAGCTTTCACGATGAAGTCAAACACAGCCCTGTTTCATATTAACGATACTCCAAGAACTAAGACTGTTAGTCAAACCAGTCACATTGCCATGGATATAATTAAAGATAGCCCTGATTCTAGACCTTCATTGTTAGTGCTCCACCGCTCCATTGTCTCAGGACAAAACCTTCAGGCTCTCTTACTGGAGAAACCCGAGGGCTGGGCAGCCACCGTCACTGCTCATTTGCAGAAAATGCTGATGGAGCAAATCTGTGTGACTACAATTATGATTGTTTCCTGCTGTCCAAAACTTAGTGAAATTGCAGAAATGAACATCAGGAGGACCTCAAAGGAAGAGTCTGAACCACTACAGACAAAACTAAATGCACCAAAGGACATTAAAATTCTCATGCAGCACAATCAAAGAGGATCTCTGAGAGCTTCAGTCGGTCAACGTGACATTTTCCATGCAGCTACTCTGCACTCTGGCACCTCTTCAAGGAAAACGTCAGATGTGTCACAGTTAAAGACACAAGGACATGAAAACATTCTTGTGAAGCAAAAGCAACTTTTGAACTTGAATGAAGACTCCACTCGCCAAAGAAGTTTTCAGAAACAACTTTCTTTAAAAGCAGCATCTGGTGTGGATGATGGTGGATTTGATGTTACGAGGCAACCCCTCTTGGTATCGAAGGAGAAGAAAGGATTCAGAAATAGACCACTGAATAAGACGAGGCCCACTCAGGACGATAATAATGAATTATTTAGCTGGAAAATGATCACAAAACAACCAGAGCTCAGACACCCAGTAGGAGATAGTAAAGCAGAACAAAATATGAATCCTATGGAAAATGAAAACCAAAAGAGATTTGCATACGTCCTACGAACACGCTCCACGCATAAAACAGATATTCATGATTTCAATGAAAAACAAATGCTGTCTGATGTGGGAGAAGAAGCCTTAATCATGTTTTTCCTGCCAGAAGCAGCGATGGAGACACAAACGGATCCAAGATCTGAAAGAAAGCTTATTTCCAACACAGACTTTAGATGGAAAGTGAATATTCCTGAGCTGGGTGACCCGCCACCCATCACTAAAGCTTTAAAGGACATCGCTATTAAACAATACGACTCAAAATGTAAATGTTTGAAAGGAAGAATATGTTTATTAGAAATCTTCGTAATAGAGAGCTTAGATAGGAAAGCAGTGAAACGTGGAAAAACTATAAAGGAACAAGTCAAGGAAACCACAGAAAAACCAGAGAACTCACAAACAACTAATATATACGATGAAACAACAAGAATAAACCACGCTGAACACGAAGGAAATCTGAAACCAGAGGAGACAGTCGTACCCTCACCTCGCCCGCTCAAAATGATAACAACAGAACACATAACAGACACAACTACAGCAAACACGAAGATTAAGGACACAACAATAAGTACGGAAGTCATCACTCAAAGCAGCACACACAAAGACGATGGACAGCCGAGCGCAGAGAGGAGACCAACAACTGGAGCGAGTCCAGAGCCCGAGGCACACACTGAGCCAGGATTTTTGAAGAATGAAACAGAAACTATGCAAGCAACGACCGTGAAGCCATTCTCGAGCCTCAGGATGAGAGAAGACGTCCTAGAAAATCGAACCAAATTTCTGAAAGACGCACAGAGTGAAGAAGAAGCTTTAAAAAGCAGGACAGAAACTGAAAGAAAGGAAGCTCAAAATCATCCACGAGTGGAGCCCACACACAAGCATGCAAAAGTAAGTATTTCTTCAAGATTCAATTAAATAAATAGTTGAATGTTTGCGGAAGTATATGTCCCGTTTGACTGTTAGATTCATATAACTATCATTTAAATTAGTTACATTTCATGAGTAATGAAATACTATATTAAAACAGAAATGTTGAAAACAATCATTTTAAACCCAAATTTTGGGGTTGAAATTTCCTTTTCTTTTCAAATCCAACCAATTGAAATATTTTGAGTTCCTGTGAGATATTGAGATTTTGATTTTTGATTAACACGGTAATGCCTGAACCATGAAGTAATTAAACGAAGAAAAATTTCTAGAATTGTAAATACGTTTTAATTTGTATTGTTTTTGCTACATCTGACATTTTTTTTCAATTTATTGCTCACAGTAGGGCCTCATGAGTTTGATTGTAAACATCAGGTTTTTCAGGAGAAAACAATGTCTTAATAACTCAACAAATCATTTGAGTTCAAGGGTTAACTATTTGTAACCATTAACTATTAATGTTGGCTTTTACTGTCGTCCCCCCGACATCTCGTACTCAGTTGCTCAATGATTTATTTTTTTTAGAGGCTGAGAATTTGTTTTATTTACTTCCATGCCAGAGGAAGCAGTGACACCAGGGGTGCAGTGGGTTGATGGGTTAATGATGAATTTATTCACAGATATTTGCAGAAATGAAAAGTTAGAGTTAATCCAATTTGAGAGGTGAACGAATACTAAGTAACCTTAACTAAAAAAATTTGCGATTACAGTACTTAAACATACTAATCCAACAGTATTTCAACTTTTAAGTTCTACAACTTAAGAAAAATAAGGCATTCAGTTGCATAAATTTTTTAAGGCCTGCAAATTTATTTTGGTTTGCAGTGCAATGAAGTGATAGGTGGGCCTTCAGGACAGGAAGGCCATCAAATAGATAGCTTATTGCATTATATTGTATTTGTTTACCTTTGAAAGAAAAAAATGGTGTTGGAAAATACTTGGCCAAAAATGATTATTAGCCCTGATAAAGTTGTAAGTAAAATGCAACTGAAAGATTTATTTATTTAAATAATTAATCATTGAGGAAAATGTGGTTTGTATAAACTGAATGTATATCAGTCAAGTGAATTTAATTTGACTGGATTGAATTCATTTTGTTTTGAGTATAACACGATGAACAACAATGACGGTGCTGATGAAAGATCTTCTGAACAGATTTCAGGGGACACTGTGCCGCTCTGCACAGGTTTAATACATCGCACGAAAGCTGGCTGGAAACACTGCAAAGAGAGACTCGGAGGAACAAAGATGTTTGCTTCAAGGCATCCTTTGGTTCCAGGTGAGCTGCAGACAGACCCTATCAGAGACGATGACAACAGCCGACGTAATGATGAAGAAAACGAACACTTCTATTATTTTGATGGAGTTCTCAAAAGAGTTCAAAACAATTTTTACCCCCACTACAAGAGTGGCGTTCCCGCAGAGAGACAAAAAAGAGACACTCGTGAAAATCTTCTCAGTTATATTCTGCGACTTACGTTAAGGAATAGGGGTCAGTGACTTCAAAAGATTAGGTGCTGAAGATGATTTCTAGAGACATGATCAGTAGTGTCTGAAAATAAGTGAAATCCACAAGGTGACCAAAGGACCTGAACGAAAAAGTATGCAATAACAAGAGCTTTATCCACAGGACAACAAGTGGAAAGCAATGTCCTGTTTGAAGTATCCTGGATCATTCAAAACTTCTAACTTCTCTTTATATCCAGTTAAATACTGACAGTCTGAGGAACTAACAGGACAGAAAGTGAAGTTCACAGTGAAGATACTGTGAACCTGAATTTTACTGGTTAAAAAAATGTATTTCCTACCTCTGAATATAACTTATAAGAATGTAGAGAGATTTGCCTAAACGTGTTCACATTTTGACTTGATGCACTTAATTGTGCACAAGCCAAGAGGGCCTGAAGTTTGCACTATGTATTATAAAAGACTTCACAGAGTAATTCTAATTCATATAATATAATTAATCAGCCTTTCTGTTTAGCAGAACTAAACAGAGCATTTATTTTCACCACAGCCTTTGTACATGACTTGTGGTTTTGATATTTTACCTGTAGTGATTGAATGTACTGGGTAAGTGGGAACACAAAATAAAACAATTACTGTGTATAAATTGTCTAGACTGGTTATTTCTAGTATTTGTTGGCTGAATTTGGAGATTTTTCTGTGAACTGCGAGTTTGTGAAACATGTACAGTTAGGTCCATATGTTTTTAGACAGTTTTGCCTCTGTACACCACCACAGTGGATTTCTATTGAAACACTCAAAATGTGTTTGTAGTGGGCTTAGTTTGTTTATTTATTTATTTTTTTAATTCTTGGAAGAAAATGCTTTTGGAGTCAGTGAAACACTGAAGTTAGAATCCATGGGCATAACAAATTGCTCTTTCCTCCCTTAAGATGCTCTGCCAGGCCTTTACTGCAGCCAGGCCTTTGATTTGGCCACTCTCAAAGTTTTTGCTATCTTTGTGACACATTTATTTGAGTTTTTCAGCCTTTTGGGGATCTCCTTTGCTGTCATCAACATCTCTTTGGGCCTCATATTGAGAGTTTCAATGAAAGCAAATTCAAGTTCAACTGGAATTAGTGCCACGTCTTTTATTTGCTTACTCTGTCATAGACTGACAAGAGAAAAGGCCTCATCTGTTAAACCTCTTCAGTCAAAATCTACATGAAAAACTGCACTTTAGTCACATCTTAATTGTTTGATAGTTTTATTTTAACCTCCTAAGACCCAAACTCTTCCACGGCATGCATTTTTAATGTCCTCGTAAGTGCATATCAGCCCACGTAGAGCAAAATTGAGTATTTTAGTCTAAATAACCCAATATGTGATGTCCACATATGTGGACGCCAGGTCCTAGGAGGTTAAAGGTGGTGTACAGAGACAAAAATTGTGTAATTTCCTGAAAACATCTGGATCTAACTGTTTGCACACAGTGAAACAGGTTTCCCTCACTATGAGGATTCCTTCTTTTCATATTGGCCATTACAAAATGCAAGAAACAAGTTAATTTAAAGCCATGAGTGTCAGTAATTTGACTACAATGAAGTAATTGTGTTGTGTATCTCCTAGTCAAACTGTCCATAAAAAATAACTATCATATTGTTTCACTGCTGCATGATGACTACAAACATTTCTATTTTGGATTAATGAGTTAATGATAATGCAGAAATTCAGGCTGATCATATTCAGTCAATGTAGTATTTAAAGAGGGCTACCTCCAGGGTCATGTCTAGCACTTTATTTTAAAATAAAAGTGTTTAGGACTTACATGAATCACACTATTAATAAAATCCACATAACTAGATTGTACTAGATTTTAATTCTAACATAGTTTGAACTCAACACTTTTGACACTCAGAGCAGCTGCGTCTTGCTGCTAGGTCATCCTAAATTACAGACGTATAGACTCCAGAGGGCTAAAAGCCCACTTTCTTCTGATTGGCTGTCCTCTGGAAGCATGACGAGGGGGAAGCACACGATGCTTGTAAGCTGAAATACTGGTACTTGTTTGCCACAGTTTTCTGGGTGACCATAGTCTGAAGCCAGGATTTATATGTAAATACTGTATTATGACTTGAAAAATGTAACATAAAAATATTAAGTTGTGACATTATGAGCCTGATTCACCAACATAGGGTGAATTTTGGGTTAAATAAAAAGTACTGAGGGTATTTACAAAAAGAGTGCAGTAAGAGGTGGGAACTTTTTGCCACTGACCCCGGTGCATACGTATTTCCTTTGTCAAGGCAGAAAGTATGGCGCAGTATCGGGAAGATAATGTTTAAATCAAGTGCAAAAATTTATTTACTGTTTGTTACACACAGTTCGCTGCCAGTTACACCGATCTTTAACGCCAACAAATTCATGCCTTACTTCTTGAGCTTGTTAATGAAACGGCTTGCACTGGGTGTTTAGGAAACAGCACAACTTTAGTGAATGACCCGTGAGACTAGAGCTCTTTAAAGTAACGTATCGTCAGATCAAAAAAAGTAAAAATGATGAAGACAGACTTTACACAATCAATGAATGACTCATAATAAAAAAATAAAAATAAAAAAAAAACATGCAGATCCCCGAAAGCCACACTGAGCCATTGCTGTAAAAAACAAACAAACAATGAAAACATCATTTCAATGTCTGTACAAAACATTTATTTGAAATAGACATAAAAACAGCTTTGATGTATTTGCATCATTCATATCTGAAATCCACGACGAGCAAACAATAACTACGGAGACATGGCTTAATGGAAATCATGAACAGAATGGTTTTTTATACAAGTAAAAGGAAGTTTTGTGAACAGCTTAGGAATTGCAATGAAATATGTAAAACCACAGAAATATTACAAAAACTTGATTTGTCTGAGTAAACAGAACATCCACTGAAGCCTATTCACTGCTATACAACACCAGGAAAGGCTGAGGGGGATTAAAAAAAGAACTAAAATGTTATCAGATGAAAAAATTGGATCCAAATGGAGCATGAAAAGGGCGTACAGGGTCCCTAGAAATTGATGCAGGCTGTATTTTCATTGTCTTTCAGTAGATGGCAGTGCCAGCACTGTAGCATCATTCTTTAGCAACAATATATAACTCTGTAACTCTTTTCTTTATACATGAGGAACTGCAGAAAAATGGGCGAAACAAAATCTAGTTAAAAATAGTTTGTTTTTTTTATCCTCAATAACTTCATACGTCACTATATTCATTTTAGTCTGTTAATATAGTTGCATATATACATATATATAGTTTGTGAGACTTCTATGCTCTCTACACATATACATGCGAGAAAATTGGGGGGGAGGAGTCTTCTTTTTGAAACCAGAAAAGGTTTCCTTCATCTTGTGAGACAAAACAATCCGTACCTGCACCCTGCGTCACTGCTGATATGAAGGGACTATTTGGTCAGTCGGCTCACTCAAAGTCCAATTTGAAAAGACGCATTCAGCGTTGGGCATCACGGACGCTTCGACAACGTGCCCAACGCGGTCTCGGTGGAAGAAATGGCACCGAATCACTGACACGCCCGCAGTCGAACGGATTCTAAGAAAACACTACGAGCTGAAACTACAACCTGAAACATTTGTTTTCAGTCATTTTGCCCTGGTGCTACAAACCCCGACAGCACTAATACTGCGTGTGTATTCCAGGGGTCGCTTTGGCAATGGCATTAAACAACAAGAGATAACTATTTATTTATTACAATAAATATATCAATAAATAAAATGACCTTTTGAAATTCTCCAAGTTACAAGGACACACTTTTTTTTTTTTTTTTACTAAGCTACTTGTCGTCGTCCCAGCAGAAAGAGCTGGTGAAACTCCTTCTTCAGCGTTATGTGTGAGTAGTAACACTGAACAGGACTGAATGACGAGGAAGGCCATTTGTGATGTGACCAGGTCGTAGAAAACAATAACAAAAAGACACCTAAGTAAATGTAGGTATTCAAACAGCGCAGCAAAGGTCAAGCTTGTGATTAGTAAGGATGCAAGTTAACCTTTGTTATAACAAACGGAGGCTATCTTCCAATCATTAGTCGGAAAAGTGTTCATGGACTAATATACAGAAGTTGAAATCAGCACAACTGACAGAGCGTGACTTTTTTGCTTTAAATCCTACATGTGCCTGAGGTCAGTGCATCGATGCGGCACAGTATTTGTGACATAGCTAATGCCACTCCTACAAACCAGTGTATATATCCTTGTCTCGCGCTAGTGTGTTAGCATCCGGGCGGATGACCAACACAAAGCCAGAAACGTCTTAGCTTTCAGTACTTGGCTACGCTTCTCTACAGCTTAAACCATGCAGCCGCAGCGCCTGCGGAAGATGACAACTTCATGTTCTTGTGCTCTTTTTAAAAAAAAGAAAAAATTTAAATTGTTACACCAGGCTTTTTGTTTCCATGGTTACGCTTCAGCATTTGGCAAGAGGTTAGCATCCTCAGACCGTTCATCAAAACAGCTTGACTTTCCCCTTTTTTGCTTTTTTGTCATGTTTTTTTTTTTTTTTTTTTAAACTACTGGCTTTTGAATACGTGGCCGATCAGCCACAAAAGAGGTAAGCCTGTTCATGAGACACAACGTCCACTGGCAGTGTCTGTGTGCTGTCTTTTTGTATTAAGTACTTTGTGTTTACTTCATTTGAAGTCCCCGCTGCTTTTCAGGGCGTGTCTGCGTGTTTGTAGTAGCCCCTTCGGAGGGCTTCGGAGGCGATGCTCTCGGCTGAACGTCGCTGGTCCATAGTCAGCAAAGTGTTTAGCAGGTCGTTGATGTCGGCTCGGAGTCCCTGCCTCTGCATCCAGTTCTTCAGCAGTTCATACACTTTATCGCTGGAAGTGCCGCTCTCCGCAAGCCGAATGTGGTTGTCACTGACTCCAATCATTCTGAAGAACTTGTTGTGGATCCGCACGTCCAAGTACTCGTCGAACAAATCGAAGCTCTTCCTCAGGGATTTTTCAGAACCTTTTGGGGGGAAAAAAACCAAACAAAACACACAGATGAGACAGGGAAGAATTTCGACTGTGAAAACAGAAAGCCACAACGTGTAAAATGCATGTGCATCTTGTTATTTTACAGACTGCTCCTAACAGACTGTGAACACTAGCGTGCAAATCATAACAGTATAGGCATTGTTCCAACAAAAGGAACAAGCAGCAAGTTTCAATACATTTTCTGTCAGGGGAGGCATGTATAATACTATTAACAGAGGATCAAACAAATCAGTTAAGCCGTGTCCTCTTTAATTCACCATGAGAACAAAACAACAGTATAAAAGGCCGCATGTTCCGAAGCCCTAGAGGCTCAGATATGGCCTGACTATCATGAGATTATAAATCTATCAAGCAGCAAAGATGAGCTCTGTAGGAGATTTTGTGACTTCCCTTTGGATTGCCATGAACAGCATTAAACTGTACTGTTTTTATGTAAAGCTGTCTGGCTCTTAGGGTAAATCAAGTGGGGAAAAAAAAGTACTGCAGAGGGTCACAGCCCAGAAGATCACTGGCTGCTCTCTGCCCAGTCTGGAGGCCATTGCAAACTCTCGGTACCTCAGCAGAGCTGGCAATATCATCAAGGACTACTCTCACCCCAGTAATCAACTGTTTGAACTATTACCGTCAGGCCGACGGTACAGGTCACATAAAACCAGGACAAACAGATTCAGGGATAGCTTCTTTCCCAGAGCTATCACCGTAGTAAATAAGCACAAAACAATTGAACCTGCTTAACTATACCATACTTGCCATTGTCACTATATTATGCTGCTATTCATACTATCATTATATTAATGCTGCTATCCTGTATATATCGTACTTATTATTGTCTGAGTACTTCGGTTGTTTTATTGAACTTTTTATACTTACATTTATATTTATTATTGCATTTTGCACCAAGGGAGTGGCACTCCAATTTCGTTGTACTTTGTACAATGACAATAAAGGCTATTCAAATTCAAAAGACCTCTGTGAAAATGTTTCTTAAAGTGGACACCCCCCTTCCCCCCTCCACACACACAAGACTCTGTGTGAATCTTACCTTGTAGTGGCACCAGTCGACATCGCAGAGGATCATCCTGCAACACGAGACAAAATAGAAAGTTTAAGGTGTGATGAAAATTTTAAAATACAGTGTGACCCATTTGAGCTCATTCTGACTCTACTCCTCACCAGATCTGCAGGCAGCTGTCTGAAGGTAACGGGGCTCTGGTGTGGGGTGTTGGAAACCGCCGTGGGAAGGGCTGACAGGCTAGTTTGAGAGGAACTAGTGGTGTTGGGCAAGCTGTCCCCTAATCCTCGGTCTTCATCTTCGAGGGGCGGGGAGGCCTTGGTCATCCCAGCCTGGGTCTCCTGCAGGAGCGGCCTTGAGTCTGGACGGGACTCCTCGCCTTCCAGACCCGCGTTTTGATCATTCTGTCGCTCCTCTGCTGTGGCTCCACTCTCATCCTGAGCAGGAAAAAGGAAATGTATAGAAAACGTGAACACAACAATGGTATATGTTGTCCAAACAGTGTAATAAATGGACAGAGTTGAAGACTGACGCATCAAAGTTTTGATTAGTGGATGAAAAGCTCGACTGGTATTTAACTCCAATAAACGCTTTAAATCTCATTTCACTGACAGA